TTGAGAATGTGCTTGAGCTGTGTGGTTCCCTAACCTTATTCTCATCTGGGCATTTCCTGCTGCTACAGACAGCTGACAAGATGCAGATTTATAATCTACCTACTTAAGTTTTCTTTTGAAACTAATTCCAGTGGGATTTTCTTAGGGAGGATCTGGTTCGAAGCTAGGAGTAAGGGTCAAATAACTGATTATAAAATTTAAGTGAGATTTCACTAGATTTAAATAAACATATTCTTTAACCTTTCCATCCCTGATATATCAACTGAAGCCTCTTATCATACATCTCGGCAAGCAGACAGAAAAATTAGCTGTCTCAGGCTAATTTAAAAAAATCTAGAAGTTGAGTAAGATAATTTGGGGGGATGATTTTGTTCAATGTCCTGGTTTAGCTATATGTTTTTATAGGGATAGAATCAGAAAATGCTTATGAACTGAACTGAGAGATACCGCTTTGTGGCAAAGCCGTGTACAGATGCTTGCATATTTTACAGACTTGTTACTCAAAGCTTGGCCCCCAGACCACTGGCACTGACATTAATTGAAAGTTTGTTAGAAATGCATGCTCTGGGGCCCTACTCTGGACCTAGTGAATCAGAATCTGCATTTTAACAAGACCCTCAAATGATTCGTTTACACACTATAATTTGAGAAGTTCCACTTTATTAGTGATCATTTTGCTTTTTTTCATCTTTTTAAAAATTAATCTGATCACGTACTTAGAGACTCAGTTGTCTGCACATGACTAACTGGGTACTCTCTGCAATGATTTATTTAACGTGGTGCTATCTAGTTCACCCTTTTCCCACCAACTTCATGCTTCTGGGCCACAACACTTACTGTCCTTAGTAATGATTATATACTGTAAGCCGTTTTGTAAAGGCACATCTATCTACAGAATCTGTAACTGGGAAGTTGTCTTTAAATAAAATTACACAATATGCTCTAAAGCGTATGTGTGTGATGTGGAATGTGAAGCTGACAAGCTATCATTACCACATAAAACCTAAGAGAGATATTATGTTTTCACCACTAGGTGGAAATAGAGTAATTTTGAGTAGGTTCTTTTAAGGCCCTGAGTTCCCGCAGTCCCACTTCAAAACCTGAAAGGGACCTAAGAAATCATTTAGTCTAATTCTCATCTCTATCGGGCCAGGCTTGGTGGCTCCCCTTGTAATTGCAGGACTCTGGGAGGCCGAGGCCAGTGGATTGCCTGAGCTCAGGAGTTCAAGACCAACATGAGCAAGAGCCAGACCCCATTTCTAAAATTTAGCTGGGTGCTGTGGACAGAGCCTGTAGTCCCAGCTACTGGGAGACTGAGCCAAGAGCATCACTGAAGCCCCAAGAGGTTGAGGTTGCTGTGACCTTTGACATCATGGTGACAAAGTGAAACTTCATTTCCATAAAAAAACACTACTAATTCTCCTCTCCTTAATTTCATAGATAATAAAAATAAAACAGATTCAGAGATATTAAGTAAATTATATGTCTTATAAAAGGTAGTCTTCTGGAGCTCCTAGAGGAAGAGTTGCTAATAATTCTTGATTCTTCAGTCATTTTTATCCATAAGAATACAGGCAGTCCCTGGGTTACAAACAAGATAGGTCCTGCAGGTTTATTTTTAGATTGAGTTTGTATGTAAGTTGGAAGAGGTACATTTACGTATTACTTGTATCAGCCTCTGTTCGTAAGTGCAAAGCACACATCAGTTGGACATTTGTAACTTAGGGATTGCCTGTAAGGTGTTATCCTTCAGCATGAAAAAGACATGCTGTGACACTTACATTATCCACGTGCTCTTACTAAGATACGGTGACCAGCACAGTTACTGATGTTTGTTAAGACAGGCTAGGGTAAAACTATTCTTTCTTCTTTTCTCTATTGTAATTAATCATGCTTAAGTGATAATTCTCCCTTTTTCCAATGAAGAGATACTCAACAATCCCCATAGTGTTAAGTGAGACTTAATGAGATTTATTTTCATGACATTTTTAGTTTTTACACCTCATAGTGGGTTCAAGTTAAGTAGCCAAGAACAGGGCTTTAGTTAACAGGTTAAGGGAGTACTTAATGCTTTCCACAGCTTAAAATCCATCACTATAGCTTTTTTTTTTTTTTTTAAATAAGAGATGAGGTCTCTCTCTGTTGCCCAGGCTGGTCTTGAACAGCTAGCCTCACGTGATCGCACCACCGCAACCTCCCAAACTGCTGGGATTATAGGCATGAGCCACTGCACTCAGTCCCATGACTCTTCAGAAAGAAACAGAATCTGAATTTTAGAATTTGGGGGATGTTAGAAATAATCTACTCCAATTATGTGTGTATATGTACATGTATATATATCAGATGGAGCATCCGAGAACAAGAGTAATCACAATACCTGGTTAGTTCCACAGGAGACACTACCGGATATCTTACTTTATAGCTTTCTATTTTGTTTGTTGGCCTTTTTTTTTTTTTTCTTTCTTTTGAGACAGAGTCTTACTCTGTCATTCTGGGTGGAGTGCTGTGGTGTCATCACAGCTCACAGGAACCTTAAACTCTAGGGCTCAAGTGTTCCTCATGCCTCAGCTTCCCAAGTACCTGGGACTACAGGTGCCTGCCACAACACCCAGCTAATTTTTCTACTTTTTTCTTTTTTTCAGGAGAGATGGAGTCTCATTCTTGCTCAGGCTGGTCTTGTACTCCTGAGCTCACCTCAGCCTCCCAGAGTGCTAGGATTACAAAAGAGTGAGCTGCCAAGCCTGGCCTGTTGGTATGTTTAAACCACCTGTGAATTATTTCCATTCATCACATCAAAGACTGTGTTTAAAAGTTAAGTTTTAGGTAATGCCTTGGGGTTAAAAGCTGTTTCTTTTCTTTCTTTCTTTTTTTTTTTTTTTTTGTGCAGTTTTTGGCCAGGGTTGGGTTTGAACCCGCCACCTCTGGCATATGGGGCCGGTGCCCTACTCCTTTGAGCCACAGGCACCACCCAAAAGCTGTTTCTTAAGTACCTAAGTATCTAATACTCCAGGGCCATTTTCTTTTTTTTTTCCCCCCTTTTTTGAGACATCTATCACCCCGGGTAGAGTGCTGTGGAGTCACGGCTCACAGCAACCTCCAACTCCTAGGCTTAGGCAATTCTCTTGCCTCAGCCTCCCAAGTAGCTGGGACTACAGGCGCCCGACACAAAGCCCAGCTATTTTTTTTTAGAGGAGGGGCGAGTGTCTCACTCTGGCTCAGGCTGGTCTCGAACTGCTGTGCGTAGGCGAACCGCCAGCCTCCGCCTCCCAGAGTGCTGGGATTACAGGCGTGAGTCACTGAGCGCGGCAGCCATTTTCTTTTTGATATTTCTGTAACATGGTTGATTGTGATAATCTAAGACTTAGTATCCCGGTACTGGAGCCTGACTATTATTACCACATTCTATAAAGGATGAAGCAGGCCGAAACGACACGTGAAGAACTCAAATTCAAACGTGCAGGGACAGCCCGAAGTGGAAGCCAGTGCTTGCATCCCTGAGCATAGGGTGCACTCCGCTTCCCGCAGAGCATGCATGTTTTCTGAGTAGTAGAGTTTCCAGTGAGGGACATACAGGCCCTTTGGGGGGACAACCACTAAGTTTTTAAGTGATACCACAAGGAAGACTCTGCTGACCCTAAAATTAGGGTAGGGACTTGAGAAGGATGCAGTGGAGAGGCTTCACAGTCCTGCCACGCTCTGAAACACTGAAAACCACCTGCGGATTATTTATTTATTTATTTGCAGTTTTTGGCCAGGGCTGGGTTTGAATCTGCCACCTCCAGCATATGGGGCCAGCGCCCTACTCCTTTGAGCCACAGGTGCCGCCCCCAACCGCGGATTTTAATTCTGGGAAGGATCAAATGAAAACTTGGTATGGAGGCTGAGGCGTCTACTAAGAGCTCCAGCACAGCTACAGTCAGAGAGTGAGTCAGATGTGGTCCTCTTCCCTAAGGTCTTCAGTGAGAAGGCCCTGGATAGGGACTCTGGTTCTACCACTGTGAAAACTTCCCTTGCCTTGTTTCTCTTTTGAAAAATTGAAAAGTCCTTAGCAAAGATTTAGTGGAGATTTAGAATTAATGGCTGGCTATAAAGTGCCCAGGAAGCACAGCAGTTAGCACATAGTAGGTGTTCAAGAAATGGACTTGTATATCAAAGCAGCCAGGCCGGGCAGCAACTTCCTTACCTCACTCCTCACCTGAGAGCACCAAGTAAGAACTGTGAAAAGCACACTTTGAAAAGTGAAACGTTCTACACAGGAGTACAGGGTACTACAATAATTACAGGTGAGGACTAAACAGGCTGGAGCCTAGATACTCACTGTGAAGGGCTCTCTGCGCGGGGAATAGAAACTTATATGACATTCTTGAATGGCAGTGAGCACCATTTACGCTGAAACTTGCTACAGAGTTTAGTTCAGAAAGGCCGCAAGTCACCCAGTCAGCCCCCCTTCTGATAAAATCTTCCAGATGTCCTCAGGCATACAGCCATTCCGAGGTTCTACTTGGGCTGGGAGTGGCCCGAGGGTGTGCGATGTGGGTTTGTCCCCGGACAAGCAGCACAAGGTCAGAGGCAATGCGGTTTATTGATCAATCAACCAAACAGCCGATCAATCAATTCCTGCAGCTGGAACCCGGCGTTGGCTAATCGATCGGTCCGGGTACTAAGAAAGGAAAAGCGGAGGCGACCGGTCTGCCCCGCGGAGGGGCGCCGCAGAGGCGGGGCCGGGGCTTCCTGGGCGCGCGGAGGCGCCGGAACATGTGGTGCCAGCGTCCGGGGAGGCGTGGGGCGCTCCGGGCGAGCTCCGACTTGCAAGAGGCGGCCCGGGAGCCCTAGCGTCCCGGGGCAGGTGGAACGGGTTCGCACCTCGGGACCCCGGGAGCCGGGCCCAGGGGGCGCGCGGGGGGCGGGGCGGGGGCCGGGCCAGGCGCGCCTCCCATTGGCCGCCCGGAACCGCGCCACGCCAGCCGCTTTCATAAAGCGGGCGCCCGCTAGCTCACAGCCAGTGCCCCACGCCAGACCCTCTTCTGTCTCGCCGCCCGCCCGCCGCCCGCGCCCACCATGACCACTAGTCAGCAGCTTGCAGGAAGATGGCGCCTGGTGGACAGCAAAGGCTTTGATGAATACATGAAGGAACTAGGTGAGGCACCCGACCCGGCATTGCCGGCAAGGCGGCGTGTGTGGCCGACTGTCCCTAGCCCCCATCACCGTGCCAGATCCCAGGGCCGGGGATGCTTGGCTGCCTATCCCCGCGGCCCCTTCCACCTCCTCGCCACCACGCGGCCTCTGCGTGCGGCGCGGCGCAGCCCCGCGCGAGCTGGCGGCTGGGAGAGGGGAGCGCGCGCGCCGCCGGAGGTTCACCTCGTGGTCCGCCTACCTCTCTTCTACTAATTTCCTCTCGTCCAAGTAGCAGCCCCCACGCCAGGTTGTAACCCTCCTGGCAGCCCCTTAACTTTCCTCTTTTTCCTTCCCCTCCACTCATCCTTCCCCTTCCTGCCGCCTTCCTCTGTCTTCCACTCGCCCCATCGTGGCAGCACCTGCTCCCCTTTCCCACCCTGCCACATCTTTGTTCCTTGATGGCTCCTGGGTTCTCCTCCCTCTTTTGGGCGAGTACGCGGTGGTGGCTCGCGGTTTTCCCCTATAGAGGGTCTGAACGGGGCTACAGCTTAAGCTTCTATTTCCCTGTTGGCCCCACTTCCTCTAGGTCCTCTGCTAGTCCGCACGGTGGAGCCCGGCCTTTGGGGTTGGCGCCCCGTGGAGAATCGGGATTCCTCGCTCCTTGCTCCCCTCACCCCGCCCGCAGCGTTGAGAGGCGTGGCGCTGGCCTCGCTGACCTGCTGCTGGCACTGCCAGGCTGGGACATCCCAGTGGGTTAGTGGCCTGCGGGAGGTGCGCCATGAGGCCAACTGTACCCGGGGGAGGCCGTGCGATGTCGTCTTGGCCTCAGTGTCTTGAGACTGAAAGATAGGAGGCAGTGGGCTTTTTTGGAAAGCCGTAGCAGAAACTGCCAGACCCTCCCGAGGCTGCTAACTGCATGGAGATGGGTGTGGCGCCTGACGTAAGGCTGTACTAGGGAGAATAAGTCTCTGTAGGAAGTCAGGTTCTCTATCTCGCAAAATACTGGTAATGCTGCATTTTCTATTACCGCCCTTTTTCTAAGCCAGTGACAGCGATTGCTTGCTTGTTGAGACAGTGAATATGTACCAAAAATAGACTACTGTCACAGGCAGCTGGAAAGTGGGATGGAATTATTAAAAGCATAGCATGAATCCCCTCTGGAAGGAGGCTTCCAGCCAGAAGAGATTGCTGAGACCAAGAGGGTGCTTCAGGAGCCCATCTGCGAGGGTTAACCTGCCTGCCCTCTGGGAAGTCAGTGTGATGACCCTCTGTTGTAGTCAGTGGAGCATTTCAGGATCACTTCTTCACTAACCTTTATCAAAGGCAATGTGGTGTTAAGGCTGGTTTGTGGCGAATCACCAGTGTATTTGTGATACTGTTGGTAAAACAAGAAGGCAATATTTTCCTGTAACTCTAGATCGAGATGACTGTGGAAAAAGCCATTTATTCTATTCATTGAAGAAATAGTGTTTGTACATGCACAATTGTGAGAACCCAATATAGAGCACTTTCTCTGCCCATTGAAAATTGTATTTGGGGTGTGAGGGCTTGTTTCTAGGATTTTGGAGTCATGAAGAGTGTCAAGACTCAATTCATTAGGAATGAATCAAGACATGAAAAGAGTTAAACCCATTTATTTGCCCAAAATAAGAATAAATAATGACTCAGCTAACAACATGTAGCATCAGCCTTGAGCTGGCATAAGAGAAGGCTCAGAGGGGAAATTTAAAGCCGGTCCTAGTGTTCCTCACCCGTACAGCCATGCTGTTCAGGTTGTAGTCTCCTCATTTGTGAAACGGGATTTGGCTTAGATCCAGGGTTCCTTAGAAATGTTAACTCTAAGGGGCAATAGATAATAAGTTAATATATAATTGAACAATAAGAAATTTCATAGCTGTATAAATGATTGTATTGATAGTAATTGACTTAATGCATCTATGAAATGTTTTTTGTTTTTAAGGGTAAGATCTGTTCCATTTATTAGCATTACATTTGTGCTACTAACTCTTAAACCATTGTGCTATTTGAATATCTCAGATTTGATTTCTATTTTGTGTAGTATATTAATCAACTCTTTATCAAGGGCCTTGTATATACCAGACTGTGTGCTGGAGTCATAGAATGTCATGGCAGAATCCAGCAAAAGAAAAAGACTGAGCAAGCTCCAGAGTTTGCAGATTTGAATATTTATTTCTACCTTCTATCAACTGCTTTGGGTAAATAAGGTTTAGAAGTCTGTATTTCTCCCCTCACTTTCTCAGCATAGCATGGTGGCCAAGAGCTGACCTGTGGAGCAAGATTGCCCTCCCTGTTGGTTTGCAGCTCCCATCTCTTCCTGGCTGAATGAGCTTGGGCAAGTCACTTCAGTGTGTCACTTTCTCATCTATAAAACAGAAGGTTAAAATCTCCCCCTCACAGGGTGGTTGTAAACCATTCACAATATGAATTAATGTACATAAAGTACTGGTACATGGTGAGCCCTGAACACATGTTTAGGGTAGTTATCAGTAAGGAAATAAGTGAAAATATACCAAGCGTATTTTGAATGATGATTTTCATTGTCTGAGTGGTAACTTTGCTATTCGTCTAATTTCACATGATTTAATATTTTACAGGAGTGGGGCTAGCTCTACGAAAAATGGGTGCAATGGCTAAGCCAGATTGTGTCATCACTTGTGATGGCAAAAACCTCACCATAAAAATGGAAAGCACTTTGAAAACGACACAGTTTTCTTGTGTCTTGGGAGAAAAGTTTGAAGAAAATACAGCTGATGGCAGAAAAACTCAGGTCAGTTGTCATAGTATTATTAATAATAACATTTTTACTGTTTATAGGCAAGAACTTAATGCAAAAGTTATTTTATGAATTGAGTTTTGACAAATTTTAGAAGTACCAGTTTCGGGCAGCACCGGTGGCTCAGTGGGTAGGCCCCATATACCCAGGGTGGTGGGTTCAGACCTGGCCCTGGCCAAACTGCAACAAAAAAAATAGCTGGGCATTGTGGTGGGCACCTGTAGTCCCAGCTATTCAGCAGGCTGAGGCAAGAGAATCACCTAAGCCCAAGAGCTGGAGGTTGCTGTACGCTGTGATGACACAGCCACTCTACTGAGGGTGACAAAGTGAGACTCTGTCTCTAAAAAAAAAAAAGTACCAGTTTCACAGAATGAGGTTCTATTACAAGCTTATTGAGAAGCACAATTTATATTATGAATAGAATCAATATAGGTTAATGAAGAAGACCCAGGGAGGAAAAAATGAGAAAAAAATGTTGATTAGGAAGTTATGAGTCATGGAAACTCTTTTCTAATGTACTTTGGAAGGTTAAGCAGTATACTTTATTTTTCCAGACTGTCTGCAACCTTACAGATGGCGCATTGGTTCAACACCAAGAATGGGATGGGAAAGAAAGCACGATAACAAGAAAAGTGACAGATGGGAAATTAGTGGTGGTAAGTGTCAGGCTGCTTATATCTCACTGGGCTTCTTGTTTCATTCACATAGGAATGCTGTGTCAGTGATCATTATCAGGAGAGCTAAGTTTGAGAAGAAAAAAGATACAAACTAATAGTTTAATACTAGAACATTGATTGTGTGGGGATAGAAGTGACATGAGGATGTAGCTAGAGCCTGTAGTCCTTCTCTACTCTGCCACTTCACAGGGTAGTCTTGGCAATGACCCAGCTGTCCTCTTAGCAGACATTTTTCCCTTTCTTTAAATTGAGGAATAATACTTTGCCAAGACCAAAGGAATAATTTAAAGATACTCAACATTTTAGTTTTCAGTAAAGCATGTATTTGTATATTATAAGCCAAATAACAGGTTCCAGTTTCTCTCCAACCCAGATTTCTCCATTTATGAAGTAGATTAGAAGGCTTTGTGGGATTCTAATCCTAACACTGTATTACTGTCATTGCTCTGGAACGTGAGACTAACTTATTTCCTTCATATCATTCTTTCTCCTAGGAATGCATCATGAACAATGTCACCTGTACTCGGGTCTATGAAAAAGTAGAATAAAAATTCCATCATCACTCTTGGCAGGAATTACGAGAATGAACAAGCTCAGTTCAATGAGCAAGTCTCCACACTGCTTTTCTTTTTCCATGATTGTATTCAGTTATCTTTATCACAGACAGTTTACATGCAGCTATTTCAAGTGTTGGTTTAATTAGGTTCCTCTCTTTGGTTAATAAATAAATATGTTTGTGCTAGTACATGTTGTATGCATTATTTAACTTTATAGAACATTAGTCATGAGTTTGAATAATTATAAATTGGATAAATTCTGAAGTAGTCTTGAGGGTGGTATATGAAGATTGAAGGTAGAGCTACTTCGGCGGCAAATACAGTACCAATCATTTAAGCTTACCCTGTACTACTGAAACTTTATCAGCTTAGAATCTTAAATTTCTGGCAGAGACTTTTCTGTTTAGAAGGTCGCTATACGAACTTTATAATTTAAATATTAAAACAAAGGTTAAATTAGCATCATTGGCTAAATCTTACCTTTCATAGTGTGTTTTTAGATATTATTGAGGAATGTTGTAGCTAAAAACTCCTTTAGTAAACTTAGTGAGGGCCTACCATGTGCTAGAGGGTAAGGTATATTGAGCACAATGGACCTATGTTTGCCCTCAATATGAGGAAGTACTCCCAGCTTTAGAAGAACATTGTACTCATTAACAAAAGTCATAAAAGTAATTCAGCTCTAAAATTCTTCTGGTGTATATTTACACAAATATGTGTAGTATGCTATGTAAAGCATACCTGGAATTCTAGCGAATGTCTGTTCTATTTCTTAAACCCCAAGACTAGTATCTGCAGTTCATATTTGGTGAAGTAAATTGTCAACTCTGGGCTAAAGCTTTGGCATGTGGTCCTCAGTATTCTTCAAGGGGCTGGTACCATTATCTCCATTCTGTAAATAAAAAAGCTGGTTTTTGACTCGCTAACTCATTCAAGGACACAGGACTAGAGCCTTGTCGTAAACTCACCATCAAGTTCACTCAGTATGTTCGGTTATTCTGTAACACTGCCTTTTCTCGTCTCAGAGGCCCTGAGTCTAAAGTCCCTACATGTACTATTTGAAACTTTGGAAACCTCCCTTCCTGTATGAGGCATTAACTGGTAAGACTCTTCTCTTAAGAAATACCTAAAATTAGGGTAGCACCCATAGCTCATTGAGTAGGGCGCTGGCCACATACAATGAGGCTGGCAAGTTCAAACCTGGCCTGGGCCAGCTAAAACAATGATAACTGCAACAACAACAAAATAGCCGGGCTTTGCGCTGGGTGCCTGTAGTCCCAGCTACTTGGGAGGCTGAGGCAAGAGAATTGCTTAAGCCCAAGAGTTTGAGGTTGCTGTGAGCTGTGACACCATGGCACTACCCTGGGCAACAGCTTGAGACTGTCAAAAAAAAAAAAAAAATAAACCTCAAACTAGCTGTCAATGAAAGAATTCCACTCTTAATAATCTAGCCCTGTGTTGTTTTAATATGTAGCCATCAAATATGGCTCGCAGCCCTCGAAGTGTGACTAGTCTGAATTGAGATATATATATGAGATTTCAAAGTCTTGGTATAAAAAGTAAAATACCTCTGATTTTTTTAATATTGATTACATATTGACATAACATTTTTGGATATAGTTGGTTACCTAAGTATTACCTATTAATAAAATTGATTTTGCCATTTTCTTCCCCTTTTTAAGGTGGCTAGGGAAAATTTAAATTCATGTGCTTGCATTTTTTCATCTACATTTTTTGGACAATACTGTTCTAGACTTCCTTTCTATTTGAATTTCCATCCTGCTTATTTTAGTCTCCAGCCTAGAGTTACTCTTTTATTCCTCTTTTCTGCTTGTAATAATAATAATTGTGTATGTTTAGTCCACATTTTCCTGGGACAAGTACTTGGAGTGTTTTGTGTTTCTCAGAACCACCCTGGAGGATGTGTGTTACCTATGGTTTTTCTGCCTTGTATAGATGAGGAAACTAAGCCCAGAGTCTAGATAACGGTCCCAAGCTATACAGTTAGTGTAAGTCAGAGCATGAATTGGAACACAGTTTACCTGGCCGTATAACCTGTACTGTTTTAGCCACTGTATTTTAATGCTTGTAGTGCCTCGGTAATGGACTGTGGCGTAACACCAGGGGGAGGAACAGTAGGCCCATATTTCTTAAACAGGAGAGCTATTGACAATTTGGGCAAGAGACTTTGTATTAAAATGTGGTAAGCATCATGGGACTTGGCATCCTAAGTTCATGGCCACAAAATGTCCTCAGTACCCACTGGTGTACCCCAAGCACGCATACATTTTCAAATATCCTCTAAGGGCATGCTACCATCTCTAGTTGAGAACCACTGGGTAGATAAAGTATTTCTCCAGCTGATGCTGTGTAGTATCAATTAAGCTCTTCTTTCTGCTGTGCAATTCTTCAATGACCACTCCTTTATCAGCAGACCTAAAGCCAGTGCCTTCATTGCTAAGTTTTATTTCCTCTTAGCAGATGGCATGCTGGAATGCCTCATGTGTAATTTAACAGCACACAGGATCTCTGGGGAGGTTTTACTATAGAAGGAGCAAATCTCATTTCTTTTATATGTGTCAATTCTTTATTGCCAAAAACCTACTAAGCATTCTATAGATAACATGTATCATTTCAAACCAGTTTAATTTTTGTAAAATAGAGTGTGATGACTTAAGTGCTTGGGCTGTGTGGAGGCAGACAGTCCTGGAATCCAAATCTGGCTCTCTACCTTTTAATAATGGTGTGACTTAGGACAAATTATTTAGCTTCTCTGAACCCTAGTTACTTGCTTTATAAAAGAATAAAACATTGCCTGATTCATAGAGCTGTTTTAAATGTCAAATTAGCTAATGTATGTAAAACACGTAGCAAAGAGCCCGGAAAACAGTAAAGTTATAACATTCCCCCATCCCTGCCCTGTAGAACTTTCTGTGATGTGGAAATACTCTAATAGGGGTGTCCGACCTTTTTTCTTCTCTGCCACATACTGGAAAGAGTTAAGAGTTGTCTTGGGCTACACATTAAATACACAAACACTAACGAAAGCTGATGAACAAAGAAAGAGGTCTCTGCATACTTTTCATGATATCCAACATCACTGATAGCAAAACAGGCCTCAAATAACCAGTATGTGGCCCATGGGCTAGAGGTTGGACACCCTTGCTCTATAATATCTGCATTCCTCACTATGGTTGCCCTTAGTCACATGTGGGTGTGTATTGAACACTCGAAATGTGGCAAGCTCAACTAATTGAGTTCTTAATTAAATTTTAATTAATTACAATGTAAATTTAAATACCCATATGAGCTTAGTGACTGCTAATTTGGATAGCATAGGGTGCTCACTTAATGCTTTCCCAAGTCACCTAAAATCAAATTTCTTCTTATTACTTTTTTTTAAAATTTCAAATCTGTTTTCCCTAAAAGTCTTCTCCATCTCAGTGCATGGAAACATCAGTTTTCCAGTTCTCAGGCTCAATGCCTTAGAGTTACTTTGATTTTTATCCTTCTTTTCCATCTCCTATCTAATCCAATTAGCCAGTTATTTCAGTTTTATCTTTGGAGATTATGTAGAATTCAGTCACAGTAGAACCTCTGTACGGTGAGCACCTGAGGGGCTATAACAAACTGGTCAACATACATAAGGAACTGGCCTACTATACTGCTATGTACGTGTGATACATGTCCGGTCTATGAAAATAGTTGAACTTGGGGAAGTGTCAGTGTAAGGAGTTGTAAACTCAGGGGGGTCTGCTGTACTTCTCACCTGTTTCACAGATAGCACCGTCAAACACCACCATTATTTCTCCTTCTCTGCCTGTTTGCACCTTTATCCTCGCAGAGCTAGCATTTTTGAGAACCTTTCCCCAGCTTCTCATTTCACCTGGAGCAGAAGCCAAAGTCTTTACCAACATTTGTTTGATCTGCCTGTGTCTTCAGAGTCCCAGCAACCCTCTTGATTTCATTTCTCACCACTCTCTTCTCTACCATTCCCTCAGTGGACTGCCCGGGGCTTTCTGCGCTTGTCAGCTCTGCCTGGAACAATCTTCCCCTAGTTCACTCAAGATGTTGGGTTATTCCCCTAGGCATCTGCAGCCCACACTTTCTCACTTCCTTTGGATCTGTTAGCATGTGTCACCCTAGCTGTGAGTCACCGCAGACCACACTATGTGTAATAGCTGCCCCCCATCCCTCACACTCTCAATTCCCCTGACCCTGGGGGTCCCCAACCCTGGTGCTCCAATCAGCTCTGTGGCCTGTTAGGATCCGGGCTGCACAGCAGGAGGCGAGAGGCTGGGCAGCAAGCAAAGCTGCATCTGTATTCAAACTCCTGGGCTTAAGTGATTCTCTTCCCTTAGCCTCCCATGTAGCTAGGACTACAGGCACTCACCACAAAGCCTGGCTATTTTTAGAGATGAGTTCCTGCTCTGGCTCAGGCTGGTCTCAACCTTGTGAGTTCAGGCAATTCACCCATCCTGGCCTCCCAAGTGCTGGGATTGCAGGGTGTGAGCCAATGCGCCCAACTAAATCAATGATTATTACACTTGATCTTAGCCAAAAGGCCGAGAAGCAATCAATGATTATTAATGTCTGTTGTATTTTAAATTCACTTCTAAGTTTATGAGAATAATTATAGCTTTTCTCTGAGTTTCATGAACTCACTGTTCTCTTAGAATTCACTGTTGTTGGGTGGGTCGTGTGTGATGTGGGTTGGTGGGAAGAACAGCTAGAGTTGGTAAACTGGTTTAAAAAGCTGAATGGCACATATTGAAATGTTGTGAAAGGCAGAGTGGTATGACTTGCCAGTGGTCACATAGCAACTGGAGAATAACTGGAGTCTTATGACATCTGGTCTGTCAGGCTCTGTCACCAGATCATACATAAACATTTACTTTTGACTCAGTCCCTCTCCTGCTTCCATTTCCTCCTCCTCCCAGGCTTCTTTCTTCCACACTCCACACTTTGAAAATGTCTGAAAAGAGGATAGTAATGTTTTTAAAAGAGGGCTTTTTTCAAAGGTACTGGTGACAAGTGACATGGTGAACAAGATAGAGTAGGGTGAGGGTCATTTCTCGTGGAACTGACATTCTAGTGTGAGGAGATGAGTCCTTATCCATTTCGTGCTGCTGTAAAAGAATAGCTGAGACTGGTTAATTCATCAAGAACAGTGATTTATTTCTTACAG